GCCTTTTTTAGTTTTGGTTGTCATCTTACATAATTAGATGCTGTAAGTTGATTTTAAAATATTTTCTTAGTATTTTGCATTTTAGCTTGAAGAAAAACCTGCGTTTTCACATAAAATGCAATGTGAAGGCAGAGTTCTGCACGGCTAGTGAAGTTTGAAGCTGAAACAAGCAAAACAAAAAGATAAAATTTGCTTAAAACAGCAGAACGAATGGTGACGACTAAAAACAGCAGCCAAAAGCTAAAAAATAAAGCATGTATGCTGATAGTTTTAAAGATCAYATTTCTTTTCAATTACCTTTAATGTGAGAAAACATAACCTTTTGGCCTTTGTGTCTGTTTTATATTGTAAACCAAAGTGAACACATTTTAGATGTTTACCTGGTTGTTTTTGATTTAAAAAGCATTTTTCTATAAGATGAAAAACACATGCATTTGTCTATGCAYTTTTCATTAGTTGTCATTGTTATTTTTAGGCTTTTATTCTGAAATAAKATACAGGAAGTGTATGTTGTCATTAGTGTAACTTGACGCTGTGAAGCAGAGACTTGCAGCAGAACAGCTGATGCCGCTTTTGACTTCCAGAGCTAAAAATAATCAACTTTGTCCGCTCCAGCTCTCACTGTATTTTGTTTCTCTTCGTCTTTTTTCTATTTTGTTTTTGTTTTAATTTTTAGCCATCAGCCGGAATGAAACGGTGTCAGTGAGGATTATTACTTTATCCCCAGGTAAGACTCTTTCTGCATAAAAACACAAACTTAGAGGTCTAATATAAATTGTCAACTAATTAAACCAATTGGACACACTTGTTGTGTACACGTTTAGTTAAGTTGATTTATAGTTTGTGTTGTTGTTGTTTTAAGGCAGTGTTATTAGACAGTCCTACATTCTGGTTTCTTGTGGTTGGACAGATTCAAAATGAAATGAAATTCTACACAAGCAAAAATGTTTTAATTGCAGTTGTTTCAAATGTTTACAGGATTTCTGTTTCTGATTTATGTTCATGAAACTATTTGGAATCTATTTTCTGTTGGTCTTTATTTAATCATATGCGTTTTATGCTCTGTATGTTCAACACTCAGCAGGAATGGTCTGATTTAGATGCACTTTGGTCCACATGCAGACGAGTGATGGTACAAACAATCAAAACAAAACAAACACATTAAAGCAAGCACCAGAAGGCCCACRAGGTGTTATCAGGCAGTTGCCAGCATGTTGAGGTTTTGTTATAGTATGACCAGATCTAAGACGTTGGATCTCGCTGACATGAGATGTTGTTTTTTTCACATGGACAATTCAAACTGGATTGCAARGGAGAAGTTTTGGTGAGATCTCAGACTGCAGCACACGTCACATGCAAATGACAAGACGTTTGCAAAGTGGATATCTGTTTTTAATTTTTCAGCTGATGTTGGAGGAAAATTGTAAACTTGTGCTGTTAACCGAGAAGTGCTTTTATTTTAAATGTGTGACGAAGAGCCCACCACTGTTTCTGACAGATGGTTAGTTGGACGACTGTGCCTACACTCCCTGGCTAAGCCTCACTTCCTCATGAAGAGCCACCTGTGTCTCCTCACTGTCTCTTATTTATTTATTTATTTATTTATTTATTTATTTATTTATTTAT